TCGACACTGCCGAGGAAATTACCAAACAAGTATCGTTTTTGCCAAACAAAGCCTGCTTTTCGTAAACATCTGTACTTTCCTCTTCCTTTGACTTCATTAGCCTTTCCTGATATATATCCTCGAATGATTTTCTTGCATAGTTGAAGCGCGGCAAAACGAATTTACTCAGTTGATAGTCGTAAATAAACCTTCCATATGGCACATCCAATATTCGTATTTTCCTATGTCTTGCATATCTTTTCAACAGAAGCGTTGGCTTGATGTTCTTTTCAATGATCTTTACAATCTTCATATTGTTGTATTGGTCTTTTAGCACCACACAATTTGCTTCCTCGAGCGAGCAGGGGGATGTCTTGAAGAAAATTTCGAATTTAATAGAAATTCGGCATAGTATATATGTTATTCCAAGCGTGTACATGTTTAACAGTGCGCTCTTGATCTCAGACATGTATTTCTTGCCCACTAGCAGAATTGAACTGTCAGTCGACTTCTCCATTGGGTATTTTTTCCAAAACTTTTAAATAGGAGATGTAATATAAAAATTTACGATTAATTTTAGAACAAAATAAAGCTTGGAGATTGAATATAGGCAAATTTTTGCGAAAGAGTGTTTTGCATGCCGTTAACTGCAGACTTATGATATTTCGATATACCCCTTTACAACTTAAACTGCAAACAAAGTATTAGAGCATGAGTGCCATTAGATCTTCTAATCATAATGTTTATTTTAGCTTTTCATTATATATGTTCAATTGTTCCTCTGCAGAAGTTTGATAAAATCAGCTTTTGCCTTTTGAAACATTTTCTTCGCACACGTTTCATCCTGGATTGATTATTTAAAAAACGTAAACAATTCAGCATTCAATGGCATTTTTAAGATCCTCACTGGTATTTTTACACTTGCTAATTCGCTCGGTACTATGCATTGAAGACAATAATGAAAATGGCAAGAAGACATTCGTTATCTCACTTAAAGATATCAACTCGAGTAAGGCATTGCTGGAGCAGATTTATGAGAAGGCACAGGCCCTTGGCTTCGATTTCAATTCCTTTGTGTCTTTGAATAATGCAAATGACAGTCTCCTGACTGAACAGCCTGCAAACCAGTCGGGTCAGGCAGAGAAACAGCAACCGGCACCAAAGAAGCAGGCAAGTCCAGAAGCCAATAAAGGTGCTTCAAAGGAAGAAGCACAGAAATATCCTAAAACGGCGCCAGCAAAGAATGAAAAGAAGACTGCTGAGGCTGCACAAAAAAAGCCACATACAACATCTAAGCCAGCAGCGGCAAAATCGTCCGCCCAAGCGAAGAAGAGTGCAGAGGCCGCTTCAAGAAAGGCCAAAGATAGTGTTGAGGCTGCTTCGAAAAAGGCAAAAGCGAGTGTTGAGGCTGCTTCGAAAAAGGCTAAGGCAAGTGCTAAGGCTGCTTCAGAATCAGCCAAACCAAAGTCCTCTAGTACACCGAAAGCTGCCAAATCAAGTAAACCTCCAGAAAGTGTTGCCAAATCTTCTCGGCTTAGCACTAGTGCTGCATCCAAGGTACCTCCTGGCATCAGTAAAAGTTCGATTAAGAGCTCCACATCGGATGCTTCTTCTGACATTGCCAAAAGTTCAGCTATAAGCTCTATGTTGTCTTCAAGTGAAGCATTTCCGAGTGTGTATTCTTCCATGTCTGCTTCTTCATTCAGTAGCTCTGCTCCATTTTCCTCAATGGCGCCTAGTGCCTCTATTGCACCCGAAACCCTTGATTATATTGATAAAATTAATAGTTTAGACCAGGCAACAATTAGCAGTGTTATGGGTTCGTGCCAGAATTGTGAAAAAGTAAATGATGTGCTGGTGTATAAAGACGGGGATGTATGGAGAGACTATACAGGTAAGATACAAATGTCTGTAAGCAACGGAAAACTAGTTGATAAGACAGGGGTGTTTATTGGAAAAGACTGCGGATGTAAAAAAGACGAGATTCCCCAGATTGGACAGATAGGCGAAACTGGAATTTATCAGGACAAGCAAGTCAATTCGGTGCAGTGTCAGAAGCAAAACAACCTCATGACAAATTTAGCAAGTGCCAGCTCGATTGGCATGGCGCAATCTGACGTCTCAGCAGCGTCTCCATCTGGTGCTTCTACTACAGACTCAACTGGTACTACTTCAATTTCTCCAAGTGTTGACACATCTTCTGTTGGTGCTGGCAGTGCCTCAACATCTTCTGCTAGTGCTGGTGGTGCCTCAGATTCATCGGCTGGTGCTGGCGGTGCCTCAACATCTTCTGCTGGTGCTGGCGGTGCCTCAGATTCATCGGCTGGTGCTGGTGGTGCTTCAACATCTTCTGCTGGTGCTGGTGGTGCCTCAGATTCATCGGCTGGTGCTGGCGGTGCTTCAACATCTTCTGCTGGTGCTGGCGGTGCCTCAGATTCATCGGCTGGTATTCCTAGCTCTTCAGTCTCAGCAACTCCGTCAGATCAAGGTGGACAACAATCTGCTCCTCAAGCATCCTCTGTATCACCAACAGTTCCATCTCCCCAACCAACTGCCACACAACCACCTATTGTCTTCAAAGCAATCAAGTTAAAGTATGATCTGGCCTGCGACAATACTGAAAAGACTGAAGATCCCTGTGTTTCCAAGGCACAGCCAAAAGAAATAGAATATAAGACACAGACTGTCACGATAATCGATGAAAAGAGGCTGCCACCTGTCACGGTTGTAAAAACTGTATCTCGGTTTATTGTTCCAGAGACTGTTAGCAAAACATTCACACAAATACTTAAGCCTGAAACAGTTACTGTTACTAAGAAGCCCGATACTGTTGTGAAGTATGCACCGCCAAAGACAATAACAAAGACGGAAAGACCGGATCCTGTGACTATCACTAATGCTAGAGCAGAGCAGCCTGAAATTGATCAAGCTTCTGAAGACTTAATAGATGAGCCAATACAAGACGTACCTGTACAAAAAACAATAAAGCCAACAAAAGCTAGACGTAGAACAACGAGAGATGACGACGTGGTGACAATAAGTAAAACTGTTACGATTCCTTACAAGGGAGTAGAGTGCGTGCCGGATTGCCCTTGCGAAGGCGAAGGTGGCTGCGATAATCCCTGTATGGAAATCAAATGCGAGATTATTGAGTGATTTAATTAAATTAATATGGAATAAATATTATTTTGAACATAAATGTTTATCTTTTTAAATGAGACTGATAGTGTTTTAATATGTAAAGCGGTCGATGCTTTTGACTGGCTTTCGAACTAGCCATAGCATATATTTTTAATATGCATGTTGATCAAAATACCCTCAATATATATCTTTGCATTATTGCAAGGTTTTAATAAGGAATGTTTCATAAACGAAACCTCTTGAAACCGTTTCAGAACATTGTTATAAAGAATAAACATATCAAAACCAATGAGAAGTAAGAGAATATGTGTTTATACGATTCTAGCATCGATAGCCAGGGCAGAAATATTTGTTCCAGAGGATGTAAATGAGAGTGATCTGGCCAATGCTAATGCAGAGAAATCTGAAGACAACTATGCATCACGAGAGGATCCGTTCTCGGCCAGCTTGCTTCCTGAAGAAGAAAATGACGAGTCAATAAACAGCAACCGTTCAAACTTAATTGAGAACGAGCAAAATGAAGTGGGCAGCAATCTCTCGGAAAGTGCAGAGCAGAACACTGAGCCCGACTTGACAAAAGATAATAATGCGAATGATTTGCAGCAAGATCAAACTGCAGAACAGAATCCAAATGTGTCTAAACTTGTGTCGTCATCTAAAATGGGCGTGCCCTACTGGACAGAGGTCGTTTTAAATAAGCAGAAACAAAGTGTTTTGGTAAATGTCAAAACAGTTACTATTATTGAGTCAGTTGCAGGAGCAAAGGTGTCATCCAGTACTAGGGATCAGACTCAGACGGCAGCAGACAAGAAAGAGAAGTCTGTGTCAGCTCCTAAGGTGGCATCAGTCCACAGCACATCATCTCAAAGTGCATCGTCTACACAAGCCTCTCCATATATCAAAATACAAATGCCAACACCTCATTCATCTGTCTCAAAGCCAGCTACCCTGCATAAAGCATCGACCACAAAGACAATAACAAGTAGCGTTGCCAAAAAATCATCTGCACCAGCCAAGAGTGCCTCAGCGAAGTCCTCGTCGGCTGTTAAAAGTGTCAGTCAAAAGTCTAAATCTGCATCTCATTCATCAGTGGTCAAAGAGGATGCCTTCGCAAAGCATTCTTCCAGCCGTGTGCCACAAATTAAAACACCAGCATCTACCAAATCAGCAAATGTGGATACTAGTACATCTGTGGGTTCCATTTTCGATATTCTTAAAAATCTGCCTTCTGGTGGCAAAGAAAGCGAGAGTGTGTTTGTAGAAGGTAGCTTTAAATTCCCTAAGAAAAAAGAGATCAATGATAAGGTTTTCAAGTTGAGTGGATACATTTCAACCAGCTAATTAAATATTTTAATCTAAAATTTTTTAAATGATTGAATCCTAGTTGCTATGACTTAATATTACAGTTGTATAGTATGTTAAAAATAAGCTGATTTTAATCAACTAGCTATCGGTATATCCAGGCGGATAATAGTCTTCATCTTCTGAAATGCTTCCAGCCTCTGATGTTCTAGTAGTTTGACTGCTTCGCACACGTTTAACTGTACTACTATATTGTGGCGGAGGAGGACCAAACATAGCTAATAGTTCGTGGGGGTTAGGCTCTGGATAATTAATGAACACCCTTTCACCATTATATCGTACTTGAGTAGAAGTATTATCTTGCTCTAAAAGTAAGGACACCGATATGAATGTAAATAAGAATCTAAAAAACAAGTCGAATAAGCTAAACATTATAGAATAGCCTATTGAGTTGGTTAGATTAAGAAAGAGTCTGGACTCAATCAGTATTTCTAAAACGAAACAAACTAGGTAAGCACTTGTAACTGATATAATTACCAATAAATGCCAAATATTTCTAAATATTTGAATGGAAAGCGCACACATTGCGCAGCTCACAATTATCACAGTGGATTGCACGACAATGTTTATGCCATAAATCCATCTAAAGAGTATGTAGTGGTTCTTTATATCACATTCGATTACGTACATTATGATATTATACATGATACAAAGAATTAAATATAGGCAGATATTAAAAAATATTTTTACAGCCTTAGATGATGATATTGGATCTCGTCTGTTTCTTTTCCAATGGACGAGTTTCGCAATCAAATCGATAATCAAACTAATGTTCAGAAAAATTGAAAACGCAGAAATGATAGTAAAGCATACACTGGTAGACATAAGAGACTGAAGACTGCCCTGAATATTTGCGGGTGCCTGCATAATGGTGACATCTGAAGTATTGGTTGGTATCTGTGGAGTGAATCCAGAGTTAAAATGCCCAACGGAGACCTCCGTTAAGCTTTTGAACGTTTCTTGAACAGCCATCTTTGGGATAAAAATTTTAAAGACCAGAAAAACCTATTTAGAACAAGAATTTTAAACTGGCAAAAATACATCTGTTGAAAATAGAGAGTTCGCATGAAGCTCAATAGGGATTTATTTGCTTAAGATACATACAAAGACATGTAAATTATTAGCAATGCTCTTCGAAATAAGCTAGAAATATACCATCCTGGAGTATTCTGTTAAATATTAAAAACAATGTCAAAGTTGGGGTTTATTTCAAACTGAGAGCCTTTAAGTCAAGTAGACATTCAGACAGGTCTCCCTTTGACTCAGCCACTCTCTCGACAAATGAAATAAATTCTTCAAGTTTCATATTACAGTTGCTTCCAGATTCCAACCTAATATTGATTTCTCGGCCATCCTTCTCCTTTTGGCCAACAATGCAAACCAGCCTGAAACCATCAACTGTTGCATTTCTAATCTTCTTATTCAGAGTCAGCCCTTTGTCATCGAATATCTTTACCTGAAAATCGCTCAGTATTTCCTTAATCTCACTAGCATACTCATCAACAAATAGAGGTATAATTGCTATCTGTCTGGGTGTGAGCCAGAATGGGAGTTTCTTTCCAAAGCTCTCAATAATAATAGCTATCATTCTCTCAATACTTCCAAGAATTGCCCTGTGCACAATGACAGGAGTTTTGAAAGTGCCGTCAGAGGCTGCATACTTCAAACCAAATCTTTGAGGCAACTGAAAGTCCAGCTGTATTGTTGCACACTGGCACTTCCTACCTAGTGCATCATAGAGAGTAATGTCGATTTTTGGCCCATAGAATGCACCATCTCCTGGATTGAGTTTAAATGGAAGTCCTACATCATTGATAGCATTTTTAAGCGCCTTTTCCGCCTCGTTCCACTCCGAAATTTCACCCAGGAATTTCTCAGGGCGAGTGGAGAGAAGCAGTTCGAACTTAAACTTGAAAATACTATATACGTAATTAAGGAACTCTAAGCATCTTGTAATCTCCGCCTGGACTTGCTCTCTCATACAGAAGATATGGGCATCATCCTGCTGGAATCGTGCGTACACGAGTAAGACCACTCAACGCACCGCTTATTTCATTTCGATGAATTACACCAAAATCCGCGAATCTAATAGGCAAATCCTTAAATGAGCGTTCCGTAGATCTGAACATAAGACAATGTCCAGGACAGTTCATCGGCTTCAAGCCAAAGTCTTCCTTCTCGATCATATACATATGGTCCTTGTAGTTCTGATAATGGCCCGATTCCTTCCACAAATCAACTGAGAATATATTAGGTGTGATAACCTCGGAAAATCCTCTCTTTCTGTACTCGCCCCTCAAAAACTCAATAAGTTTGTTATAGATGTGAGCTCCGTCTGGCAGCCAAAAGCACGACCCTGCTGAATATTTGTGGAAGAAGAACAAATCCATTTCCTTACCTACCTTCCTGTGGTCCATTTCCTTTGCCTTTTCAACTTTGTCCAAGTATGCCTTGAGAAGATCCTTCGAGGGAAAGGATATTCCATATATTCTCTGCAAAGATGCATTCGAGCTATCATTCAAGAAGTATACACTACTTGTTTTGAGTAGTTTGAACGCTTTTGCCTGTCCAGTGCTGTTAATATGTGGTCCTAAACACATATCGTAGAACTTATCATTTTCATAAACACTGGTCTCTCTATCTACGTTCTTTTCAATAAAATAAATCTTGCAGGGGTTGTCTTTGTACATTTCAAGTAGCTCTTCCTTTGACTTTATTACCTTTTCAAATTTGTAGTTTGCCTTGGCAATTTTGGACATTTCCTCTTCAATTCTCTGGAACTGCTCGCTTGAAATGGGTGTGGACGAGTCTACGTCATAGTAGAATCCTTCATCGGTAGCCGGCCCATTGACTAACTTACACCGTACAGGTTGACCAGTGCATTTCCCAGTATATGAGATGAAGAATGCCAGAACACCTCCTTGCCTTCCGCGTCCTCAAAAGTGAACAATCTGATTGCACAGTCTCTCTCCAGTTTTGAAGATAGATCCACCAACCTGCCATCGATCTCTGCAGTAATAACATCCTTCTTACTTAATGTCCTTAAAAGGTCGTTTATTGCAGAGTTCTTTTGAACCTCAACTACTTCGTTGTTTATGGTGACTTTTACTTTATCCATTTGGGACAAGAGTTAAAAATTTTGAAAATCAAAGCAAGAAAACAAATTAGAGCATAATACAGATAACTTTAAGTATTATGGGCTGAAATATAACTAGCATAAGATTTACAAAACTCCTCTAAACAGATTATCAATTGAAGTCTTGCTTGAACTGCATGCTAAACTGTGGTATTAATTAATTTAGATCGCTTATCCCGGAATCTGTTTCAGAACCTCAGAAATCTGCTCAACAGGCAAGTCAATACTAATTATTTTTGGATTATCGTCGACAAGGTTCTCAAGGGTCAATTCTGCAGATTTTATTTTCTTTCTTGACATCTTGCCAGGTGTGTTTGTATTTTCATCCTTGAACTCTTTATTTGCGAATATACTACTGGTAAAGCTGTTGTTTGGACCCTCAGTCTCCCTAATTTCTATGATTTTGTACTTCTGGTTGTTTTCAGCAACACGAGCATTTTTTATTTCAGGCTCTAAACTGTCTTTCTTAGAGTGGTTGTGAATGTCTATATTCTCAGCTAGATCTTGATGCGTAATTGTCTTGTCATTTGTAGTATTTGGATGCATGGTCTTCGTGCCGCCTGCAACATTTCCAGCTTCTACCTGTGGTAAAACATACGACCTACCATCAATTGTCTTTATGCTTTGCTGACCTGGAGATAGACTCCCATTCACTTTGGCTTTACTGCTGTTTTTTGCCGATACCTGGCTATTTCTAAAGACAGTAACCGTTCTTACAAGCGTCTTTGTTTCCCTGTGGATTTCGGGCTTTATGCTTACCACAGGCTGTATGATAGTAGATGTTTTTGCTTGTTCTCTTTTTTGAATTGTTGTTGTAACAATAAGTGTATGGCTGATTGTTAGAGTCTTTGTACTAATACTATTAATAGAAGCACTGGAATTATACTTGGATGTAACAACATCATTCATGTTTTGGCTATCTTTATGAATGCCAGTACTACTAACATTGTCATTAGAACTGTTGACTGTATTTTTGGATATACTATTGATAATATCGGAAGCTTTAGAAATATTTTGGGATATACTTTGATTGTTTTTTGTTTCCACCGATTCTTCATTGTTCACAAGAATCGTTACGGTTTTAATCGCCGGAACTGTCGAATTATCGGCTTGGCCAAGCCCAATTTCACTTTTGCTCTTCTTTCCTGCTGCATTAACAGCTAATACCGATGAATTATCCGGTTGTTCTTGTAAAGTGGCTTGATCAGGGATTTTTTCATTTACGTTGGTCTCCCCGACTAGTTTAACAGCAGGAATTGATGAGTTATCCGTTTGATGGAAATCCTTTTCGCGCTTATTAGGTTCCTTTATCACATTGGCAGCAAGTTCTGGCGTATTGCCAGATTGGTTCATGCTTATTTCCATTTTATTGTATTGCTTAACTAATCTTATTAAATTCAAAATTCTAATAATATCATCTTCTGATCTGGTATCCTTAGTGATAAAGGCCATTAGTTCATTCAAAAGCTCATTCTTGTAATCCGGATATTCTTTCATTATACTTCTAGCCACTGTTTGAGGATATCTGATCGAATTTGCTGCGGTTGTAGCACTGTTCAGAGGACTAGCGTCTGCAGAAGATGGCTCAACAAGGTATGATTGCTTATCATTTCCCGACAATAAATTCAGTATTTCGGCCAGCGGGTTGGCGTTATTTTTCTTCAAGTTGCTTTGTTTTGAACCTGGTGAAGTCAATGTTGAAGAGCTATTATGTTTTGATGATAAAATGGTTGTTAGACTAGTAAAAGAAGCGGCCTGCTTGGATGCAACAATAGAGTGCATCTCCCTATCAATTCTGAGTGCTTCGATAACCTTTTCTGCCAACTGTTTGTTTAGTTCGTTGCTTTCTTTAAGACTCATTTCCAACTCATTTAATGTTTTTATTAACGAAATATTATTTGCTGTGCTGCTGTCTGCTGGATCCTTGTCCACTGTTGTTAAAGATGTGCTTTTAACTGTAGAACTTTCTATTAATGTTGGCCTGCTCATCGGCTCATTGGTCTTTTTTTGTATAGATACTGTACTGGCCGGCTCGTTACTAGCTATCCTGAATGCTTTTTGAGGTATCCGATCTACTTCAGCATTGCCCATATTTTTTGTTACAGTTACAATTATTTTGTTTGTAATGGTCACTGTATTTGGTCTTTCTATTCTATTTAACTCACCAGCATTATCTTTAGTTAATAGAGGATCATCTATTGCCAGTGGCAGGTTATTTACTGGCGACGAATGGGTGCTTGGCGCTTGTTTGTTTTCACTATCTTCGTCCTCACATAGTTGGCAATTGCTATTCTGTTTAGATATTACAGTCGAATATACCGTATGAAGTGTGGAGGAGCTAGTGCTAACAATCGAGGAGAGTGCTTGATTAAAACTAATAGTGACTGTCTTGTCTTTCGTGTTATTGTTTCTGTAGATGGTAACTCTCTTCGTAACGACTGATGTATTTTTAATAGAATTGGTCGATGTATTTATATAACTTGGCACTGGGTTTGAGGCTGAAGTGGATCGTTGCATTTCACTTAAGTTACTCATCATTTTCTCCATTTCGCTCCTTATGCTACTATTTCTGGCACTGTCATTGATAATCGCATACAAATCTTTAGCTACAGGGCGTTTTTTGGACTCGTCCGGCTGTAGTATTATCTGTGTCATCGTTGTAATATGAGTTGTAATGTTTGATACTGTACTACTAGGCGTATAAAAGAACGGTTTTGTTACGGAAACCGCTTTAGGTATATTGCATTGAATATCAATGCCACATGCCTGTGAATAGGCGATGCTATTTGTATTATAAAGTGGTATTCTTTGTAGTACTTTTCTTCTGATATTTGACGCAATCGTAGTACCATCAGGAGATACTGGCAGAAATACGGTGGAAATGCTAGGAACAGTAATATTTTTAGTAATAAAAACAGGCTCTGCATATGGTATGTTTTTTGTAATAGGAATACTCCTGATAAAATATCTGAATATTGGCTTTAAGATCGTTTGGACTACAGGCGGTTTCTGTATCGGAATGATGATAGATCGAGTGAGGGTTTGGGTAAGGGTGGCTGGATGCTTTACTTTTAGAAGAGTCTTGGTGAGTGTTTGGTACACAACACTCACAGGAACAGCTTTTTTATGGTTATAGGGAGCCAAGCCAACAACATTAGTGCTTGTGGCATTATTGCCAACCATATTGTTGCACATAGCATTGTTGATATGGCATGGAGCTAGTAAGCGCGGTTGCTGTAGTGGAGATAGTGATGAAGATAGTACTTTCTCATTGGGGTTTGGTGTTAATGCTTCTGCTTCACTTGAAGTCAAGATGAGTATCTTATTTGTGCCATTAGATCTAGTCTTTTGCTGAAATGAGTCCGTTATCTCGGCAATATCAAAGGCTGATGTTCCTATGCAGGAATTTGAAAGTCCAACGCCAGGGTTGCTCAATGGCTGACTGCACACTACGCTTTTTATATTGTTTGTAGCACTGCCCTTATTTATGCATTTTTCTATTTCACTTAAGTAGAGTACTTTTAGCTTGCCTAAAGCCTCTCTGCTGCTATCAGAAAGTGAGTTCTTTCGACTCTGCGCCCAGTTGACAAATTGGCAGATATCAGATCTAAGAATATCAATTGGCACTCCAAGCTCAAACTGTTTACGCTTGCTCAGGTCTAGAAATGAAGAATCAACTGTATTGAGCATTAAAAAAATATGAAAAATCCGTATGAAGGACGATGTGATCATGACTAGTTCGGTTTCAAAAAGTATTTATGTGATGTTTCAAAATAATAACAAAGAAAAGCAAGTTTCAATGATAAACACATTAAAATATTAAGAGTCAAAGCACTTCACGAATATATACAAAGATGGAAGATGCAACGCCAAACAATAAAATTCATTTATGAATAGAATCCTGTAGGGATGGCATCCTGCTTACTGTATAACACCTTCTCTCGCGCCTTCAAGAAGTCTGCCATAGAGACATGCTTCCTTCTTTCTCTTAATGCACTGAGACCTGCCTCAGTGCATATCGCTTTAATGTCAGCACCACTCAGATCTTCTTTAGACGATATTAGTTCATCAATGTTAACAGTTTTATCAAGCGTCATCTTTCCTGTGTGTATTGAGAATATCCTCTTCTTAGTAGCTACGTCAGGCATTCCAAAGTATATTTTCCTGTCTATTCGACCAGGCCTGATCAGGGCACTGTCAAGTGATTCAATCTTGTTGGTGGCCATAACAACCTTGATGTCATCTCGGGTGTCAAACCCGTCTAACTGGTTTAGCAGCTCAAGCATCGTCCTTTGGATCTCCTTATCTCCGCTTGAGTCCGTATCGTATCTCTTGTGGCCTATAGCATCGATTTCGTCAATAAATATGATCGAGGGTGCATGTGTCTGGGCCACCTTGAACATCTCTCTAACCAGCTTAGGACCATCTCCCAGGTACTTCTGGATTAGTTCTGAGCCAACAATTCTGAGAAATGTTGCAGAGGTAGAATTTGCCACAGCCTTGGCAAGAAGCGTCTTTCCAGTTCCTGGCAATCCGTATAGAATCACGCCTTTTGGTGGCTTAATTCCCATCTCTTGGAATAGCTCCGGGTTAGTAAGGGGGAGCTCCACACTCTCCTTAATTTCCTGTATTTGGTCCTCCAATCCTCCTATGTCTGCATACGTCTCAGTAGGTGCCTTTTCCAGCTTCATTACCGAAACAAGAGGATCGATGTCTGACTCCATCACACCAACTACTGTGTGGTCTTTATTGTTTAGAATCACAGTACATCCAGGTTCAAGAAGATCCTTGTCCACAAAGCTCATGATTGCGCTGTAATACTCTAGTCCAAGACCAGACGACACAATTGCATGGTCGTCATCAATGAACTCCTCGAGTGTTCCAATGGCAAGAGGATGTCCACGTAGCTGTTCTAAAATCACCCTGGACCCGTCCTTTTCATGCGGATTGGCCTCTACAAGACCAAGTAAGTTCTCCTCTAAGGATAGAAAAGCCTTAACCTTCTGCAATTTTAGAAGTTTAAGCTTGCACTTCATAGATGGATTAACGGCAGGGAGCTTGGATGCTGTCCTTGAATCTCTAACTCTCTTCTTCCTTCTTAAATTTATAGCTGTGTTATCTGTTGATTTTCTGGGTGGTGCTGCAGAGTTACCCATGGGCAAATGCAAAACTTGATTATTGACAAAGTTAAGTAAATACAAGACTTAATTATTATTAAAGTCAAAGTTCCTTTTTGTAAAAATATAATAATAAGCCCAAATACAATACTTAATTATTATTAAAGTCAAAGTTCCTTTTTGTAAAAATATAATAATAAGCCCAAATACAATACTGATGTGTTTTATCCAATATCCACTTGCATGTTGGTCGCATCTACTTTTAACTTTTTAGTCCACATCCCTCCAAATGGAAGACTGCAACGCCAAAAGGATTCTCCGGATGCTGGAGGAAAACGAATTTATAACCTCAGAAGACCTAGAGATTCCAGCAAATGATCTCCACGGGCTTTTACTTTCTCTTGAGAGCAAGGGACAGGTTGTATTTGAGATTTCCGAGAAGCATGCCAGAGTCTTGACCAGCGAGGGCAAAGGTGTCCTAAAAAACGGTACCCAAGAGTTCAATCTATTCAGGGAGATATCAGAGGATGGCACCGACTCATCTATTCTCCAGAAATATCCATTAGGATCCAACTACGCTTTCCGAAATAGATGGATAAAAATGGAGAACAATAGGATCTACAAATGTAAAAAAAATGTTGAGGACGATGTTGCAAAACTTCTCAAAAGCTTAACTGTACTGACTGACAGGGAATTTAGTGATCTGAAAAAGAGAAAGCTTGTTGACCAGAGTAAGTCTAATGTTTATATTATCAAAAAAGGTCCCAGATTTGGAGAGATCAATGACTATCTGACCGAGCTTACATCCGAGATTGTCGTGAACTATAGGGGAGAAGTATTTAAAAAGTATAACTTTGACTCGATTGGAAATATTCCATCTTGCGGATCATTCCATCCCCTTATGAAAATAAGAGAGGAGTTCAAAAGAATATTCCTAGAAATGGGGTTTAATGAAATGAATACAAGTAGATATGTTGAGTCTAGCTTTTGGAACTTCGACTCCCTTTTTCAACCCCAAGACCATCCTTCCAGGGATGCACATGATACTTTCTTTATCAGGAATCCAGAGTTGACGACTAAGTTTGATGATGCATACTTTGAAAGAGTCAGGAGTATGCATTCTAGTGGAGGATATGGCTCTATTGGCTACCAGTGTGAATGGAATCCCAAGGAAGCTATGAAGAACATTCTCAGAACTCATACTACCGCTATTTCTTCTCGCTATCTCCAATCAATGGTAAGCAAGTTTAGACCCATAAAGCTATTCAGTATTGATAAGGTGTTTAGGAATGAAAGTGTTGATGCAACACATCTGGCAGAGTTCCATCAGGTAGAGGGGCTGATAGCCGGATATGGCCTTGGATTGAGAGAACTAATGGGCATGCTTAAGGCATTCTTTGAGAAACTGGGGCTAAGGAATATCAAGTTTAAGCCTGCTTTTAACCCATATACAGAACCTTCGATGGAGGTGTTTGGGTATCACGAAGGGTTAAGGAGGTGGATTGAAATAGGAAATTCGGGAGTCTTCAGGCCCGAAATGCTTCGACCAATGGGCTATGATGAGAATGTATCGGTGATTGCATGGGGATTATCACTTGAGAGGCCAGCAATGATCAAGTATGGGCTTAACAATATTAGAGACCTAGTTGGGCATAGGGTTGATATTAACTTTATTAAGAAGAGTGAGTTTATATACTTCTAGAAGTTGAATCCAACTGTGGTCTGTTCAAGTGTACTAGCACAATATTACGTGTTTGGTTATCCATATTAGCAGTTTTTGATCATATGCTATTGACTCATCTTTACTTTCAATATTAAATTTATATTTACAGCACTATGTTTAATGATGCTTAAAGCACTATATGATAAGATTAAGATTTTTCATCTTCATTTTGTTCCACAGCCCAGATTTCTATGATTATCTACGAGCCTATGCTTCCAAAAGACGTATTAAGCCTGGATTTGGCAAATCTCGATGCCAAGTCTGAAAACTTCACTTTTAGCTATTATATGGGCTATCTTCTCAACCATCCATGCGATTTCTTCACTGTTAGAAGTTTCTTTCCCTTCCTTTCTCAACACACTAGCATGATTTTTACAAATCCTATTCTTGGCTATGCCTTTGGAAGGAAGGAGCTAAAAGAGAAGCTCTGCTACCATCTCAGTGCCATTTCAGTTGCACCTTCTGCCAGGGAGCTTGGAATTGGGACCAAGCTTATGAGGCTGTTTGAATGCACCGGGAATTCATACGAGGCGTGGTTTATTGATCTTTTTGTCCGAGAATCCAACAAGTTGGCAATTTCATTCTATAAAAGACTGGGATATGTTGTATACCGCACCATATTCGATTATTACATGTATCCCAGGGAAAATGCCTTTGACATGAGACTTTCGCTAGACAAGGATAGTAATAAGGAACTTTTAAAATCTGGTGAAGATGTGAATGTGGAGAATTTGAAAGAGTACTATTAAGTACAAATCATTTAGAACTTAAATTGGTTCCGCTGGAATGCTGGGGATTGATAAGTTTAACTCACATTGCTGAGTGTTGCGTGCGTACATGGCTATACTTCAACAAATATTATTGGACAGTCACAACTTAAAATAAAAATTAGTTGATATAAGCTATATTTATTGCTATAAACTTTTGATGTGTGTCTTAATAAATCTAATAAGGTCGTCAAGTGTTTCAAATGAGTGCTCCTTTAAAATTAGCCTGTCACCATCAATTTTAGAAAAAACATGCTTTCCACTTAGCAAGAACTCAAGACATCCGGGAACCTTTCTTGAAAGGACAATTGAATATTTAACAAATTCTCCTGGCTCTTCAATGTGTCTCTGTGCTTGAGCGGGATCTGCAAAGTAGTACTTGAATGAAACGATGCTGCCGATCATATTGTACGTTTTCTTAATGTAGTCGTCAATAAAGGCATCTATCGACGAGTAATATCTATTCTTAAATTCATACGAGATTTTGAATCCATCCTCAGATTTAATAGTCTCTTTCAGTTTATATGTAAAGAATAGATCGTCTTCAATTTTGCAAACCACACAGCAGCAGCTTGGTGTTGAAGATGGGCGGATAGCAAGGCTTTTGTTTGATTCTCTCATGTGTTTTTCAAGAGCATCATATGGCATGTTCCTAAATAAGGAATGGGACCTGAACTTATCGACTTTGAAACCTTCTTCTTCAACAACATTGCCAGAATAGCTCAATGCTGGCGGATTACTGCCGGTAATCTCAACTTTCACTATTTGATTGAGCGCCAATTCTGAACTCTTCCGGATATAGACTGTTGCATTCGATACTTGGCACAGATAAAAGCTATTTCCTACTTTCGTAACTGTGCCAGAGTATGTCTGATTCTGCTCTAAATGTGGGACAACATCATCGAAAACCTGGGCATCAGATGCTCCTGCAAAATACACCTCATCCTCCCTCAGCATTATCTGTTTTAGATCAGCAAGTGTCTGCATATCCTTGTCTCCATCCATGCCAATAGTAGAGTATGAGGCAAGGAGCTCGGGCTGATTGACGAACAATTCAATGATCTTGCTTTCATCTTTTTCCAAGTCTAAGTGCATCCGATTCATAATTGAATCGTGTTGGGCACTTAAAAGCGAATGATAGGCGCTTTTAAATAGAATAATGGCCATAGAGTAGTTGACAGGATGGATGAGTGTTTTGTCTAATGGGTTTTCTGAAGAAAGAAGATTGAAATAAGTACATGCATTGCTGCATTTTACATTATCAAATACATGCTTCAGGCTTTCGAGAGCATCAAGCCTTTCAAAATTGAAATAAGGATCGGAAATATCAATTTTAAGTAGCTTAAATAATATAAACCCAAACTTGTGTGAAAGCGTGGATATCCAGTCAAGCTTACAGACAGCACAGGCAATGGATATGCCTCTTTCTAGCAAACCTGGATCAACAAAGCGGTAGTTGCAAACAGGGTAGCCATTTGAAAGATTATACAAGAGTCTTGCAAAGTATAGAAGTGGATTTTGGACGACAAGTGCAATGTTGTATGGAATTGATAGTTCCTTATAGTCATCAAAGAAGCTTAGTTTTCTTGGAACATAAAAAAAGTTAATACCAGCATTTTGTAGTGCAAATTTGACACTTGGACTAGTTGAAGTCAAACAAACATTGTCTACGTCTGAGAGAAAAGCATGCAATTCAGATAGTTCATGCTCCTTGAATATGCTTGATGCAACAAAGTTACCAGAGCCATCAATTCTAACCACGGAGAACAATGTTTTATCAAGATATACGCCCGCATATGATCCTGGCCGACCCCTTAGGGAAATAATTAGGTCAACGAGTTCCTGCAGACCGTTAGGACCCTCAATCATGCCCTGGTCTACCAGCCTACGCTCAATGATAGACTTATCCACAGCTACTGCCTCATATGCCTTCTGAACAATAGTTTTTCTAAGTTGATCGTTCATATCATTTTGTCCGCTGCAATACAGTTTTTGGAGAAAGCCCAGAGAATGAACAGAGTTTTCACAAAAGCTAGGCTCTAGAACACTGATTATTGTAGAATACACAACTCTTTTTAGAAAAATGGGATTCGATGCAATTTGAGATATTGTTTTTTTGAAGTGTTTTGAAACTATGTCTTTGTCAGTATCATCAAGAGTGGGTGCTGGCTTCTCGATCTCCAACCCTTGAATCTCATCGTAGTCCCATCCATTGTCAAAACCATCCTTAGTAGATATGCCTACATCAAACGGAACATCAATATTGCCCTGCGGATGGAACACGGACTCAAAGCTTTCCATGTTTACTACAAATTCAGAGCACGTAATGAGCCCCTGTATTCTGGATTCGCTCGCAACAACATGCTTTATCTGTACTTTGGATGTTTCCTCCTTAAATTCATCGATCAAGTCTTTAACAAAGTATAACTCCTTAACTGTCATTTTACCTAGATGAAAGGAAAGATATTCCGGGGAATACCCTTCTATAAGCTCCTCAACTATTTTGCTGTCGAGTTCCTTGAACAGGGAGTTAAATCCCCTCAAGAACCCCTGAACATAAGCATAGCATTCCGAAACGCTGATCTCACACCTGTCTCTTGTATTTTCCTGTTCTTCATTGCCATTTTTCTTTTTGTAGATGTAGCTGTATTCATCACCATTTCCAAAGATCTCAAAGAAGAGAGGCTCGAAATCACCCTCGACTATTTCAGAATGGTCAACAATCTCAGAACTAGTGAATTCATCTGACGGCCTGTGAATTTTTCTGCTGGCTGGCCTTTTTCTGAAGATAATGTCGGAATCGCTGCTCTCGCTCATCTGTACTAGGGTCAAGAAAATGCGAATGGGTAATGGTAGCCAAAGCAGAACAAGGTATTAAATGGGATACAGATTTGCCAAAGGGCAATGATTATGATAGACATGCAACATTATTTAGTCATGGCGGATAGCCATATTCCCGCTTAAAGTCTTAGTTACCTTGAAGACATTGTTAATATTTAAAACTAAACATACTATCAAATCAAATATTGCTGTTTAATTGAATGACACCTTTCCCATCTGAACAAGAATGTCGGCATTCTCAACAAGAGGATTGAGTATCTTTTTAACCTCTTCTGCCTCGCTGAACCAGTCTTGGGGCAAGAAGTAGTTGCTGGTCGTCTCCAGGGCTTTGATAGTAGCCTTGGCCAAGTTTTCAGTAGTCTTTGTTCGACCATAGCTCTTAACAAATATGTCTTGAATGCCTGCAAGCTGGAAGATTCTCCTGTGAATGTCAGAACACTCAATTCCTGTTCCAATTGGTGCTGGAACAACCCTGACAGTGACGGAGCCGCATTTTCCAGAGCACTTAGTCACAACAGTATGTCGGATGTTACCAACACCATCCCACTGGCCCATTCTAACTGGAATTATATTCATTTTGGCCTTGTTAACTGCTGCCTTGATTGATGTTGAAAGCTCTCTGGCTGAATGCGTGCCAATTCCAATATAACCATTCTGGTTCCCAACAATTGCAACAACCTTCATTGATGTCCTCTGACCGGCTTTGGACTGTTTTTGAACCGACTGTACCGAGACAAGATCCTCCTTTAGATTGGCCTTGCCAAGAAGATGCTCCACGATCTCTGGCTCCTGAATGCGTATTGAGCTTCTAAAAATCTCGTCGACATTTGTGATTTTGCCCATCTTCACGAGCTTTCCAAGATTCGTCTTTGGAATCCATTCTTTTTCCTCAATATTTCCTTTTGCTCTTTCAGTATGTTGCGACATGCTGGGTATTTCCATTTTAAAATTTTTTGTAAAAATTTTCGTACAACAAGAAAGTAAAAGCCCTGGCAGTACTTGAGCAAGCAGTTTAATATGATGCCGCAAGAGAATGTTCGGATAGCAGCATTGTAAGACATTCAATTGTGCAGGCTGCCATATCCAAGTTATGTTCAACCATTATGACATAGATGAATATTTATACAGCCTTTTATTCACTAAAATTATCTTTGGTATTCCCGAGATCGTCCCAGCAAACATTTGGACTTTGCCTTTGCTTTTCTGAAAATGCCTCAATTGCCTTGTCGATGTATCCCAAATAGTCGTCCTTATTCGCTTTTAAATGGTCAGATGTGGATTTCTTTCCTTCCATAAACTCCAAAAACTCTTTCAAATCAGATTCGTCGCAAAAGGGAAACTCTATGAATTCGTTTTGAATCTCAAGTTTGGCCTTGAAAGGCAGGTCCAAGGCATGGCCAATCATCTTCAATCCTTGATATGCTTGGTCAAAGAGCGACCTCCATTCTTCATCGCTTCCAATTTCCTTCAAGATTAATTGGTTCTCATCGAGAAACATCTGCAACTTTTCGGGTATTTGATCATCATACTCATCTGAAGATTCTAATGATAAATTACTTTCGGCATCTGATGCCTGAATGGTTTCTATTGGAGAAAACAGGCAAGCATTTGACTCCACTGTGCATTTCACAGACTGCTGGCTTTGCTTTGGTGTTTCTAAAACATGATCTTCTACCTGTGGTGCTTGCACAAACTTTTGACTACCTGGAAGGTTCGTACTGGTTTTCATAAATTCCTCACTGATCGATTTGAAGAGCTCTTCGGATTTTTTGTCATCAAAGGGCTTAGATGCTGTTGAAAACAGCCTCGACTGTTCCCCATTGTCTGGCTGGCTTATTCTTTGATAACTTTTCATCTGATATAATTCATTTTCAACATTTGTCTTACCACTCTGATTTAGTAGTTCTGGATTTATATTACCAACAAAGGATCTATTGGATGTGCAATTTTGCGTACCATAGCTGTATTCGAACGCAGTGTTAAGTTCCCGTATCGTCCCTGTGTTGGTGTCTGTAATTCTTGACTGTGTATATTTTTTAAATTTATCGGCGGACTTGCCCGAATTGGTGACGTTGGCTACATATGAAGATACGTCATGGCCCGAATCGCTTCTATAGCTCGGATTTCGTACCAATCTGGGATCATTTTCCAAATCAGACAGAGATGTAGCCGGGCTACTCCTCTTTACAAAAGGGCCACTAAATTTACCGAAATGCAAATCAGCCCTAGGAACATTAAATTTATCAGAGTAGAGATCAGTCTTAAATTTACCGTCGGATGAAACAAACATACAAGCCATTTTTTGATGACCAGTATTTACAGAGCCTTGGTTTCCGTTAAGTGAAATGCTTACATTTAATGGGGGATTTCCGCCAAACTGCTCGGCCCCGCTCAACGAATTGTTCACATTGACTGAGTTTTGAAAAGGCCTTTGATCTGCATTATAAAGGATTTGAGATGCATTGTTCTGGGACGTACTTTGTGAGAGCACATTTGGGTCTCCACGATTTGAAAAGTGGACAGTTGTATTTTTGTCGAGAAACCGGCTTGTAGGTTTTGATTGATCACAGCTGACGTGGCTATATTTTGCATCCTTTGGCTTAGCAGCTCTAACTCCACTCTGGGGGACTGATTCTTCTCCAAATGAGGGACGAGCATAGAGATCAGTTCCTCCAATTACACATCCACTTGCTGTTTCTTTGGTATTTACAGAAGCAGAGCAGTAATAGCCGCTATAGGCCGCACTAGAGTTCTGTGAAACATTCCGTTGTGGCTGAGGAGTGTAATTTCCACCGCAAGCACTCTGATCGTAGAAATTTGGTGAATAGCCGTACACCTGTGCATTGCCTTGCGAGGCATAATAATGTTGATCGACAAATGGATAGCTGGAGTCCCTTGAAAAATGCTCAGAAGGAATGTCGGGCGAGGTATATGCCATATTGCTTTGAGGTAGGGTCTTTTCTGAAGTGTACATTCGATTTTGTCTATCAAACCCAACTGAGAACGAGTCTAGTTTTCTGGAATTTGAGTTTGGTTGATGCAGAGGCTCCTGAGAATACATCTGTGAAACTTTAACATATGGAGGAATGTTTCCATTGATTATTTTACTCCGATCATCCTCGTAGTAATTTTTCTGTCTAACGGTCATATTGTCACTTGCTCTTTCCTCATCCAACGGCTCGGCCCTTGACACAGTACTCTGTTTTATCTTCCTAATCTTTTCGTTAATGTATGCTATATACTCGTCCTTGCTTTTGCTGTGCTGAAAAGTATGGTGTTCGCTGTTCAGCACAGCCTCGTTGAGATGGCTGTCTGAAATGTTGCAAAAGGATGGCGACTCTTTCAGTGCTTCAATGAGTTTCATTATCATTTTCCTTCTGAGGTCTCTTGAGATATCCATTTGGGGGAATGTTTACAAAATTTAACAATGACATGCACTCAATGGATTGATTAAATAGTAACAAAATAAAAATTTAAGGTAGCGGTTTAAAAGTAGTGTTTAAAGACTGAAATAAGTAGAAATAATGTATTATATGCGTGCAGTTGACATTTAAGTAGGGCTTTGTTCAGAAATGCTTATTCGATTTATTTTAATTTAGCATTGTGGACCTGAATCTCGTCCTGTGGGCCATCTTAAATGTAATGCAGAGCAACATCATGGAGGTAAAATATTTTTAATACAGGTTGCATAAATACTGTTAATACCGAACTAGATTTATTTATAGGACCAATAATACCTGGCCGCAGATGATGATAAATGTTGCAGTGCATGCAGATATACTGCAGCCGTGGACGCAAAATTCCTAAACATCTCTTGAACAAAGTCTGTCTGGATTATGGACTTGGCAATCCAACTATAACTTGAATCCGGGAGCAATAGCCAAAGTAAGAATTCAGAAGCAGGAACTTAGTGGATGCAATACTTCAACAAACATCTTGTCATGTTACTCGTACTCCAACATATTGGGGAGACCGCTTCTTGCTCGGTGCCTCCTTCCTCGTGAAAACCATGTACTTTGTAGCCCTGTAAGATTTTTCAAATGCAGTCGAGCGTTATAGCAGAGCTAATAGTCAAGAAGTCAGGACTACTGGCAGATTTAATTGTAAACTCTGCCTACTTTGTATCAAGAAAGACTCTTTCCATAGGCATGCATGTCATTATCCCACTTTCGACATGTTTTTCAATTGTGCCAGTTTTGGTTTTTCTGATCTTCCTCAGAATAATTTCCTTACTCATAGCAGTGTTGGCTGCTATTTTGATCTCACTTGGATTCCACAATGGGCTCATCTTCAAGCTGCTCACTGCTGCCCACTTCTATGCCAAGAATCTCAATAAGCTGAGGGCCTACTGTGCTCTTTCGATGCCAGTACTGGAGATAGTCTTTCTTCCACTTATTTGGATACTAATGATGGCGCTATCAATCATAGATGGTTTTAATACATTTATATACAGGGGGATTGAACGTAAATATGCGAACAAGTGCGCAGACAGCCAGGAAGCCAGAGGAGTATTTTTCTTGATAGTCTGTCTATTCTCACTTCCCACTGTCATGGACACTCCAACAGAGTGTGTTAAGAAGCTGCTGCCGAACTATTTCAATATATATAAAGAATACTACATATTGGCTTTGATCCTGACTTTCATAGTATTGATCTATGCATTTTACTTCATTCAATATTTGATAGAGACCACAGACACAGTGGAGGTTCACAATAAAACCAAAGACAAGAAGTACATCTACGAACGGGCACTTCTAATATTTGATCTGCACACAATCCTTGTTGAAAAGTTTGCCACCTTATTTTCGATGACAGTCGGCCTGGTTGGTGCAGTCTGCTTGTGGTGTGTATCTGTTTATCGCATGGCCAAGAGCAGGTTTTCTGGAATCTGATCATATCCACACAGTGATTTACTTGGTCCGATTTTTCGATTAGTGCTTAAATAAATGCAATTAATTGTATGTTTTGTTATAGGCTTTATGATTTAACTATATGCATACTCACATACAATATCTTGCCACAGCTGTCACAGGAAAATATGCTTGTATTTTGCACTGGCATCGGATATTAAACGATCAGCAGTATGATATCCCGACAAATCACTTCCATTCAGCTGGATTATACAAATAATATACATCGAACTCCTATGACATTTATTGTGTACTAGATGCCATTACAGTATTTGTATTCAACGAATCACATTGGGCATAGTCTGGAGTGATTTGACATCTGTCAATATTCTGTTTTTAAGCACAGCCTTGTGTGTTAGAGCTTACTCACAAGGATCTATCAGCACAGCTGGTGGTTGTATGTTGACAGCAATTACTGTCTTGCTTGTAGCTAAAGCTTACGTATGCCAATTTATGATTTTTATGCCTGGTGATATATCATTGTGATTTCCTGTCAAAATCCAAGCAACTTAATTAATTTAAAAATTTTTTAACTCATACTCTAATGAATATTGTACGAACAAAAAAGGCATACAAAACAATCTGCTGTTTAATTGCATTTGTGGGAGCTAGGTTTATTGACACTTCCAGTGGAGTCAATCCAGGCTTGGGGGACATTCAAAGCCCTGGTTCAGTTGGGTATGAAGCTTGTACTTCTCAAAAGTGCCGTATGGATATTGACTATGGATATCCACTTCTCAAAAACATTACATCTCTTCATGATGTGATAGAAGAGCTGAAGTATCTATGTTGTCTGGATCTCAGCAGAAAAGAGCTAAGATCATTACCACCTGAGATAGGAGAGTTGGAGAGTTTAGATGGATTGTATCTCAATGGTAACGAATTTGAGACATTATCACCTGTGATAGGAGAGCTGAAGAATCTAAAATACTTAGATCTCTATGATAACAAACTCGAGAGACTATCACCTGAGATAGGAAGGCTGAAGAATCTACGAGAACTGGATCTTAGTGGTAACAAGCTCAGGACATTACCATCTGAGATAGGAGAGTTGGTGAATTTAGGGATATTGCACCTCAATGATAACAAACTCGAGAGACTACCACCTGAGATAGGAAGGCTGAAAGATCTGTGGCGCCTGTATCTAAATGGTAACAATCTCGAAGCACTACCAGAAACTATAGAAAATCTGAAGGATCGTCTATGGTATCTGTATCTCAATGGTAACAAGCTCAAGACATTACCACCTGAGATAGGAGAGTTGGTGAATTTAGGGATATTGCACCTCAATGATAACAAACTCGAGAGACTGCCACCTGAGATAGGAAGGCTGAAGAATCTGCGAGAACTGGGTCTCAATGGTAACAATCTCGAAGCACTACCAGAAACTATAAGAGAGTTGAAGAAACTTCAGTACCTGTATCTCAATGGCAACAAGCTCAAGACATTACCACCTGAGATAGGTGAGCTGAAGTGGTTGCTGGTATTGCATCTCAATGGTAATAAACTTGAGAGACTACCACCTGAGATAGGAGAGTTGGAGGGTTTATATACATTGTATCTCAATGATAACGAGTTCGAGACATTACCATCTGAGATAGGAAAGCTGAAGAATCTACGGCACCTGCATCTCAGTGGTAACAAACTCGAGAGACTACCATATGTGATAGCGGAGCTGAAGAATCTACGAGAACTGGATCTTAGTGGTAACAAACTCGAGACACTACCATCATACATTGTAAGAATGTTGTCTGGTTCTTTGCAGCTTCTGGATTTAAGAGGCAATAATATTTACGAAGTTGGAGATGGAAAAAGGACTCTGGGTAAGAAAGAACTGAGAGAGATATTTGGAGATCGTGTCAAGTTCGATGAAGAAGCTTCACAATGGTCTTTGTGGAAATGTTTCACAGAATTTGTTGCGTATTTATTGTAATAAATTGTAAATTTGTTTGTAAACTTGGGATAGTTGTGTTCTCTTTAATCAACGCGCTAGATGTAGAAAAAGGGTTATTTAGGTCTTTATTTCCCACCTGGCAAACAGACACTTTCCAGGATGCAGCATGGCGTTTTTGAGTAAGACTCGTGCATGTTGTTCATGTATCTTTAGGAGGATGTGAGGTAATAATGTCAGCTACATTGCTGATGCTAGTTATTATCGAAGAGTACAGCCTACAGTTCCACTGCAGCATGCTTGGATTCTTAGCCAATTGAAGAAAATGCGTGAAGGAAAGCTGTGGTGTAGTGGGAGCAACTAACATAAATGGGCATGGGTTGCATGAAGCTGTTGTGCAATTCTGGTGTGATGGCTAATCCAGGATAAAGGCCATCTAAGTATTGTAACTAGATTTTGTCTATTTATGAAATATACAAATAGTATCATCCATCTTTCGCCACACAATATCAGTGTCAAGAGCCACATAGAGCAATAATCAAAGAATGTTGGTGTAGAAGATAAAGTTTAAAGCGTATTAAAGACCAATTTAATCAGTTCTTGGCATTCGCTCATTCTCTTTCTTCTCACCTGGTTCAATAAGCTGGATATCTGCTTCATCCAGTTGATCTTTCATATTGCTAAATGGAAGACTTGCATCTATCATTTTCAAATCCTGAACTATTAGAGTTCGTAAATTTGGGAAAACCTCTTTAATTCTTGCATCGATCTTTGATATAGGAGTTCTAGACAAGCTTAGACACCTCAAGTTTGGCATAGTACTGCCGCCTGTCTCAGCATCAAAGTAGCTTTGAAGACTGACGTGTTTAATTTGGTTACCACTCAAACAGAGACATTTAAGACTTGCAAGATTAGATAGGTATGGCATCTCTGTCAGTCCAACACTAGTCAAATACAATTCTTTTATATTACTGAGATCTGGGCTGTTTAGTGCTGTATTGTCAATAGTCGTTTTTGATATCCACAA